TCACCTCTGAAGGTTCAGCATAATGGGCTTCAGCCTACAAAGGGTTGGAGTCCACAGTCATGGGGGTCTTGTCAGCAAACTTCAACCTCCCTTCTTCGATAGCGTCTTGCACGAGATTCCTGAAAAGAAAACACTGAGATGTTTTATGGCCCAGAAAATTATGATATTTACAAAAGCCTCTTTTCTTTCTTTGATCAAGAGGAGGCACTTTTACCCCTGGGGGTACTATCATTTGGCCATATTTTACAAGTAAGTCAAAGATTTCATCATATTTTGTAATATCAAAACTGTAAGTCTTTTTGGGGAACCTATCGTTGGTCCTTTCCGGACCAGTGGGATTTTTTCCACTTGAGGGGACTAACAGTTTGCAAGAGTATGGTGGCCCTTGTTTTAGTTCCGCTAAATCGACCTTGCTTTCTTCGACGGTTATAGTTTCGTCGAAGGTTTCTGGATCTTCATCATCCATTTCGACATACACTATCCTTTCTCTTTTGTGAGTTTTTGTCGCCTTGGCTTTTTCAGCCTTAAGGCGTTCTACCTGTCGAACTCTATCGGCCAATTGGGCCATGTCTCTCAGGTATTGAGTGTCTAACTTCTTCCTAATGGAATAATCTAAACCCCCTGCGGCTATTTCGACTAACTCATGTTCTGGCACTTGCGTAAAGCATCTTGCTTTGAGCAACCTAAACCTATTTAGATATTCGTCTATAGGTTCAGTGAAACGTCTCTTTACACTGGCCAATTCTTTCAGGCTTATCTTGGTTTGTCCCATGTAGAATTGCTCATGGAACAATCTCTCCAACTGGGTCCAATGATGGATCGAATTGGGGGGGAGAGTTGTGAACCAAGTAAACGCGTTCTTTGTTAAAGAACTTGGGAAATACTTAATCCTCAGGTTTTCGTTGTTTGAAATATCTCCTGCTTCGATCAAGTATCTCGCCACATGTTCGACAGTAGATTCTGTCGTGTCCCCTGAAAATTTAGTGAATTTAGGGACTTTACATCTAGGAGGTAAGTCTGTTTGTAACACATATTCTGACAGTGGGGATGTGAAGTTTGGCCTACGAAAGCCCATATTCATCCCATTTTGCGTCATGATTCTTTCGATCATGGCTGCCAGGTTATTTTCCAAACCCATATTCTGGTATTGGATGTGCTGAACTACTTCGTCAGCATTTTGGTTTCTGTTGACTATCCTTACCTCTGGGGCTATGACCCTAGGTTCTTCGACCCCGGGTTGCTCCAATCGTGCCCTAAGGTTTTCTTCGACAGGCTGCTGGACTTGATTAATAGTGGTTTCTTCCTCTAGAAGTATACCTTGGTTTCCCCTTATTTGCGCCCTTTGGGGCTGTCGAATAGGTTGGGGTACCCCAAAGAAATCAGCCAGACGCGTCATTTGCGCTGTCATCTGCTGATCCGACTGGGTGGTGTTTTGTATTAGAGGATTCAGCATCGTACCTAAAGTTTGTGCCAACATTTGAACCATATCGTGGTTGCTTTCATCCATTTGTTGCCTCAAGACTGCTGTCGAGGCATTCGTAAGGCCATGCGCTACTTGGGACGTTCCTCCTAAGAGTTGGGTCCTATTTTTGTTCGCCATACCAACTCCAGAACCTTGGAGTGGCGAAGAGGCACTCACTAAAGGGTCTGAAAAAGTGGACGCAACGTTCGTCAGGCTAGCCAATTCAGACGTTGGCATGCCATAGAGTGGTTCTCGATTTGGACCGCCTGTCAAAAATCCTGGGGGAACATAAGGCCTTGTTCCTAGATTTCCCCTTGGTGGGGGAGTTCCCAAAGGCACTCTGGGGCCAGTGAACGGAGGTAATGGCCCCGTTTGTATGACCGTTACTGCTGGTGATGAACCAGCAGTTATCGCTTCACTTACGGTTGGGATAACCGTTGTTCCCACATTTGTTTGTGGGATTTCGTTATTGTTTGGCGGATTCGCCATCGCTTCTCTTCTTCTGGCAGTATTGGTATTGTTAGTGTACATTCTACCACTTCTCAATAACATGCAATACTTCTCGAAAAAGATGATATTCTGTGTAAATACGGTTAACCTTCAAAATCAACACAAGGTCCCACCGGGTGTGCTAATTTGTTTACCGTGGAAATTGGTAAACAACCGCTGATCCTCCAAAAGGTTACTTATTTGGTGACTCGCAGGATCGATCCGATTGATCCTAAGACATGGTTGATTTTTGGGGTTTTGACTAAGTTTAATGATGGTTAATGACAAGAAAATAAAGATACTTTATGTAAATTGCATGAAGAAAACTTGGCAGAATAAAAGAAAGCTTTGAATAGAGGCTTCGACTGGAAAAGTAAATGAAAGGCAATAAAGTTCTGGAAAATAAATGACTTTGATTAATTAAAATGGTGTTTCACACATACATTCTCAACAATTCTTTCGCTCACAATGGGTACTTGAATCTAAATGAGTGACTTGTATATAATTGTGAACACACGCGAAAAACTACGTGAACTACTAGTATTTATACTAAACACATCTCAAGTAACCGTCGGGAAGTTACACTGCTTCGAGATGACTCCACTTGGCATGCTTACAGCATTCGACGCTCCAGATCTTGGCACGTTGCACTTGGTAACCGCTGGGAACCGTTTTCCCTCCAAACATTTGAATCTCAAACCGTTCCACTCTGAGCATCGAATACCTTTGTCGAAAAGAATCTTCGACGTCGAAGGCAACAAGATTCCTACTTAGAAGAAATTCTCTAAGTACCTTGCCATCTTCTGATGGGCATTTCGACAGAACCAGCTGGTCGAAACCATCCTTCTCAATTAATGGTTTATATTAATAAAAACAAGGATGTCGAGTTTAGGAGCCAACAACCTGACAAATTGAGAGACATTGTATATAGTGTTGGCGGAACCTAATATGCATCGGCAAACAACCCCACAAATTCTCCATAATAACTTAAATATATACAAAATTATAATTTAAAAAGTTTATATATTTAAATTTCAAATACATTAAAAAATTATTTGATCTTTTAAGCATTTTAAAGAACTTTTTTAGAAAAGAAAGAGAGTTTTATTACATAGTAATTAAAAACTATAATACAATTAACTAATAAAAGAAGATAAATTTATACAGAAATTTGATAGTAAAACATCATATTATCTAGATCACACTTCATGTTGACAAATACATATGCACAAGTGTTCGACTCAAGTTAAATATGAAACATACATCTCCCAATTCAATTTGAGCAAATGTTGAATTGTTGTACCAATCACATTTCAATTATACTATTGTGTTCATAATCCAAATGATTTGAACAACTATTTTAGAATCTATATGAAGCTCAAAAGTTGGAAACTCAAGCTCTTTTGCTAATTTTAATCTTTCAATCTCACCCAAAAGTTTAGCAATATATACACTATTTTGTTGCTAAGTCTGGTAATCCTATATGTTTTGTCTCTACATCTTCCCTTGATTCTTGGTTCCTCGACTTTGGTGCATCTGATTGTATGATTGATAATTAAAAAAAAAATATCTCACTTGTCTTATTCTAATTCTTTGTCTTCTGTAACTATGACAAATGACTTTAAAATTAAAGTTCAAGGTCTTAGTCAAGCACATCCACTTTCCAACTTGTCTTTAGATTTTGTGCTATATATTCTTGATTGTCTTTTTACTTTAATATTTGTCAACAAACTCACTAGGACTCTTAATTGTTTAGTTCTTTTTATTGGTAATTCTGTTTATGTTCAGGATCGACATACATGAAAGACAATTGGAGTAGAGAATGAGTCTGAAGAATTATATCATCTCTCTTCACTTGTGGCTTGTGTTTCTATTTCTTCTCAAAACCTTACACATCATTGTTTGAGTTACTCTAGTCTTAATAAAATGTGTCATTTAATTTCTAGTTTTTCTAAACTTTTGTCATTTAAGTGTGAACCGTGTCAATTAGACAAACATACTCACCACACCTATTATAAACGAGTAAATAAAAATATTACATTTTTTTTAGTTCACTCTAATATTTTAAGTATTAATTATATCAAGTCAATTTTAAGATATTATTAGTTTATAACTTTTATAAATGATTTTTCAAAACGTACTTGATTAATTTTAATGAAAAACAATTTAGATGTTTTTTCCATATATTTTCAAGAATTTTATCTTTAAATTAAAACCAATTTTATGTGGTCGAGAATGTGATCAGCAAGATAGAGAGCATCTTTGAGATCATCAAGCCATTTGTTAACAGCAGAGTCATGAATCTGCTTCTTTTCGGGATCGTTAAACACCGCTTCAACAGCATAAAGAGTGTTCTTTAACCTCTGAACTAAATTGGTGTCAACCTTGTTTCCGCCGATCAAGTTAAGAACCTGAGGAGAAGCAAGCCTGTCAAGAACAACTTCAATGAAAGCAGACAGAAAAGCTTCACCAACAACCGCGGCTGCCATAAACTTGATAGATAAAATGATTGAGTGATGAGATTGTAATAGAAATGAGAAAATAAAAAATTGATTGTAGCTACTGCACTAAGGTCAACTGGTTCGATTCTATCTATATAGAAACAGACTAGGAAACAAGACTATTACTATTATTATTAAATTAATGTTTACTTAGACATTAATAGTTAATTAATATTTAACACCGCTTCTAATCATAAACCGACCTTAGCTCAGTTGGTAGAGCGGAGGACTGTAGTTGAGGCTTCATGCTGTCATCCTTAGGTCACTGGTTCGAATCCGGTAGGTCGGAATTTTTATATTTTGCATACATGAATTTCAATATAACAGGAATGAATTGTCATTAGTCAATAATCGTTTGTACCAGAAATACCTAGTTTGTCCTCTAAATTTCAGAGTCATAAATCACTATAGAAAAACCAATTACTTATTTCTTCCTTCATTCCATTCCAATCTCATCCCTTGCATATAAGTGATGTTATTTGATTATTAATAGAATCACTAGCATAAAATCACAACTGTCTTTTCTACCTAGAATCTCTTCTCAATTTTTACTTTCTCTCATTTGCTCTTACTTTGTTTGCATCCATTGCTAAGCGAATAACAGATGCATGATCACCTTGGACAACCATGTTCGGAGCAAATTGTGGCGAGCTTTCCCTATTATGACCAACTTGGACATGCTCATAATTTGTATAAGGCGTATTGAAGCATTCCATAAGACCTAAGTTAGGTGTTGCATTATTACTATGGCCACTTCCTTTGTTTAATATTTTGTCACAGGAATCTCTTACATTAATGGAACTACCACTTTGTCTTGGTTGTGTTTGGTAGAACACCTTTGAAGCAACTAATTCTCCATCTTTTTCTTCTTCGTTACTACCAATATGGTATTGATGCATCACCCAATTAGTCTTCTCTGGTTTTCCTTGCCTACCATAGTTTGTGTAGAGTACTAGTATCTTTTTAAAACCCTTGGCAATACCATTAACAAATATTGCTCTAGTTTTTCCTGTTTTGTGCCATCTTGTTTCACCTCCTTCTTCATCAGTGTGGACCTTTCTTCTTTTCCTTGTTCCTGTTGTGTATGCTTTAGAAGGCCTATGAAAGAAATGGCGAATTTGTCCATCTTTGCCAACTCCTGCATCATTTTACAGAAAAATTAATCATGTATATGTCTTGCATTATAGTATTTGTGTAGAAAACTCTTATGTCACCTGTATCTAACAAACTGGTTAGTTGGACAAGTAGGCCACTAAAATATGGTTAGTTAATATAACTAACTTCTAAGTTAACTAACAAACTTGTAATCCACTTGTTATGGTTTGGGCCAACGTCCAACCCATATGATTCCGAGTCACCCGAAAAAGTATGATAAATATGGTTTAGAAGATACACTCGTCCTAGAGACGTACTAGATCGAGGCCGCATAGCCATTATGGGCCATTGGATAACCAGATCATGTGATATATTAACAACTGTCCTCTGAGACGGGTGTGTCTTATAGAAGATTCTAGGGTTTCAAACCCTAAGGACCTACAATAAAAATGAAAAGGAAAATCGGTCATAAGTACACATCAATCTAATCTAAAAACTATTGGAACATACACAAAAATAAGTTGGTGAATTAATGGCGAAAAGTGGTTAATTGGAGAAGATGGAATTTAGAGAGAATTTTGGAGATTATCAGAGAGAGATAGAGAGAGTAATTGAGGAGAAATATTAAAATTGGCATTAACTAAAAAAGCACACATTACATGAGGTATTTGTAAGATACACCTAAAACAAAGTGGAACTAAAATTGGCCAAACAAACAACTTTAAAACTCAAAAAATCGCGACAGAAACTGGTTTCTTAAAACAGGGAAACTAGTTTCCTCAACTGAGAAAACAATTCCAGAAACTGGAACACGTGACGGAAACCAATTTCTTCAAACTGGGAAACCAGTTTCTCCTTCGAAACTCCATATTTTCAGCTTTTCAGAAGTGTTTTTCAAATAACATGTTTTACACTAAACGACCACAAAAGCTTCTATAATACATTTGGCTTATATTGAACATCCAATATACCACCTTAAGGCAAATGCTCAACATTCTTCATTCCTAAACTCCTCACAAGCTTCTTGAACACATCATTTATCACCCCTTCCGTTAACAAATCCGTAGGTTATTCTTCGCTTCAACGGTATCCTAACTTCAGCTTGCTTGCACACACCAGTTCCCTCAAGTAATGAAACCTCATCTCTATATGCTTGCTCCTCCCATGTGCTATGGGATTCCTATCAAGATTAATGGCTGAAACATTGTCAACCAAGAGTGTGACAACTTCTTCAACCTTGCTGCCCAGCTTCTTCAGCAGATTCACAAGCCACACAGCCCGACACGCATACATCGACACGATGATATACTCGGCCTCACAAGAAGAGAGTGTCACCACGGGTTCCTTTTTAGAGCACCAAGAGATTGGAGATCCGTCGAACATAAAGACATAACCATTTGTAGACTTTCGATTGTCATTATCTCCGCACCAATTGGAATCCGTATAACCGAGTAGCTTGCATTTTCTGTCCGTATCAGTTGCGGGAAAGAGAATTCCACAGCCAAGAGTTCCTTTGATGTATCTTAGGATCCTCTTAATTGCTGTCAAGTGAGACACCTTCGGTCTCTCCATGAATCTACTTGCAATACCGACACTAAACACCAAATATGGTCGCGTATTGCACAAGTAACGTAATGATCAAATCAACCTCCTATATTAAATTGGATCCACATCTTGCTCATCATCATTTTTGGACAGCTGCAACCTTGCTTCAACCAGTGTTATGGCAACATTACAATGCTTCATATCACATCTTTTCAAGATCCCAAGTGCATACTTCCTTTGATGCATAAGCAACCCCATTTTTTACTTACGGAACTCTATGCCAAGAAAGTATTTCATTAAGGCAAGGTCACTCATCTCAAATTCTTCCATAAGCTCACTCTTGAACTTAGAAATATTCACTTCATTGTTGTTCGTGATCAATAAATCGCCCATATATAAGCAAAGTATGATCACATCTTTGCTTACACCCGTCTTCACATAAACACCATGTTTGGATACACACTTTTTAAAGTCAACCTCAACTAGAAAATATCAATGCATTTGTTCTAAGCTCTAGGAGCTTGTTTCAAACCATAAAGTACCTTCTTCAATTTATAAACTCTCCCCTCTTGATTTGTCACCACAAAATCAGGGGCCTGCTCTACATAGACTTCTTCCTCAAGTGGACCATTAAAAAATGCGGATTTTACATCCATTTGATACATTGACCAATTATTTCTATTCGTAATACCAACAACCAGCCGTATAGTTTCTAATCTAGCCACCAGTGCAAACACCTCATCATAGTCTATACATTCTCTTTGCAAAAATCCCTTCGTAGCTAGTCGAGCCTTATGCTTGACAATTTCGTATTTTGGATTTGCCTTCACTTTATAGACCCATCTCACTCCTATTGGTTTTTTCCGTTCCGATAGATCGACCAGCTGCCAAGTACTATTTTTTTCAATCGATTACAGCTCCTCTTTCATCGCAAACACACACTTTGGATCTCTTAATGCCTCATTTGTGCTCACAGGATCAGATTTGGTCATAAACGCAAAGTGAATAAGATCACCACCATTGTTGATCTCATTATCATGGAATATTTCACAATCTCGGAGCCTCTGAGGTAGACCTTTGCGTCTTGTTGGTCGTCTACTGGATTCAACATTTTCAACTTCAACAGGCTGCTGAACTGTTTCTGCAGAATGCTGATTTTCTGCATTTTCTGGTGGAAATCGGTTTCCAGAAACAGGGGGACTGGTTTGTGCTTCCAAAAAATCAGTTCCAGTAGCTTCAAGATGCACAAATTGTGCTGGAAACTGATTCCCTCATCTAGGAAACCGATTTCCTATACAGTCATGGACTTTTTTCTGCTGTCAAACAGTCGCAACTCGTCCACGACCACATCTCGACTTATCACGAACTTCTTGCTACTGACATCAGACAATTTGTAGCCTTTGATAGGATGATAACCAACAAGCAACATCATCTCCCCTTTGTCATCCAACTTCTTTCAAAGTTGACCTGGAATATGTCGAAATGCAACCAAACTGGAAACTTTTAAATGACTCAAGCTTTGTTTAAAACCAGACCATACCTCTTCTGAAGTTACTTTATCAAGCTTCTTTGTAGGGTACCTATTCAACAAATAGGCGGTTGTAGACACAACTTCATCCCATAACTCTTTCAATAAATATTTACTCTTTAACATGCTACGAACTATATTCATTATCCAACTACTTTTCCTCTCGGCAATACCATTTTATTGAGGCGTATAAGGTGGCACAACCTCACGCAATATACCCTCATCATCACAATAATTTCCAAAATCACTCGAGGTATACTCACCTTCACCACCGGTTTTGAGAATTTTCAACTTGTGATCACTGTGCCGCTCCACCATGGATTTAAAACGTTTGAACACATCAAACACCTCATATTTCCTCTTGATTAGATAAATCCATAGCTTCCTACTAAAATCGTCAACAAAAGTGACAAAGTACCTATTTCCACCATACGAGTCGACTTGCATTGGCCCGCAAAGGTCCGAGTACACCACCTCAAGGTGATATTTGGTCATATGGCCCATATCCTTGCTGAAACTATCCTTGTGTTGCTTCCTTTGAACACAATCATCACATATCTCAGCTGAAACATTGATCTTAGGCAGTCCGGTTACCATACCATTCCTTTGTAACGCGTCGAAGTCTCAAAAATTGAGATGTCTAAGACGATAATGCCACAACCACTCATCACGACTTGCCATTGTATCAAGACACCTATGTTCCATAACTTTTAAATCTATCTTGAAAGTCTGATTGGTATCCATGGGTGCTCTAAGAACCAAAACATCATTTCGGTCCAAAACGCGCAAAATCTTATTTTCCATGCGAATTCTGTAATTCTTCTCAAGCAATTGGCCAATACTCAAGAGATTACACTTAATTACAGGGATGTATAACACATATTTGATCAAGGAATTACTTCCATCCTTGTTCATGATCAAAACATCACCTACACTGTCGACCGCTAAAGTGGTGTCATCTGCGAATTTTACCTTATTCTTTGTGGCTTGATTGATTTTGACAAATCAATCCTTTCTACCCGGCATATGAGTTGAACAACCAGAATCCAAGTACCACTCATGACAGTCTTGGACTCCATCTCGAACAGTTACCATTACGTTTTTCTCAGAACGCGTTTCTGCAGCTTTTTCCGCACTACAGACGTTGTTGCCCAGCCACTGACAGCTACTACTGCTGTTGTCCAACAACTTTTCCTTGCCATAATTCTTCTCTATGATCATGACCAGAAGTGTGTTATCATCATCCACATCTTGTCGAGCTACCTTGGCATCATCACTTTGATTTTCTCTCAATTTTGTATTACAATCTTCTGTGAAATGACCAAGTTTGTGACAATTAGAACACTTTGCACCACTCTTATCAAACTTCTTGGTGTAGTTACCTTGACCATTACCTTTGGAGCTATTCTCACCTCTTTTCACCATCGAAGCCTTTGAATTTTGTGGATCTTTTCCACCAAAATTCTGGAAATTTGTCTTTTCCCTTTCGAAGACCGTTTTCCTTTTGATCTCTTGTTCTTCTCATTGAACCGTGGTTGCAACACAATCTCCTCTTTGGCCTTTTCATTTTCTCTTTCATCCATCATTTGTTCATGAGTCTCTAATGAGCTTTGAAGCTCCTCCTTTCTCAATGTAAGAAGATCCTTTGATTCTTCGATTGCAACCACAATGTTGTCGAATCTTGATGTTAAAGAACGCAAGATTTTTGCTACCATATTTCGCACCGACACGGTTTTACCGCAAGACTTCATTTGATTCACCAAACGCGTTATACACGTAACATAATCATTAATCGATTCCTTCTCTTCCATTTGCACCAGCTCGAACTGCCTCTTGTGAGTTTGTAACCTCACAACCTTTGCTTTATCAGCCTCTTCTAAGCTTTCTTCAAAATCTCCCATGCTTATTTCGCCGACGCGCAATCACCAACCTTTTCAAAGTTGTCGTTATCGACGCAAGAATGTATCAAGAAGAGTGCCTTATAGTCTTCTTCATCTCTTCCTTGAATGTAGCTTGTTGAGCAGTTGTAGCTTCTGCCTCAAGTGGTGTAACACCATTGTTAACGACTTCGAGAACTTCTTGATACCAAACAAAACTTTCATTTGTTTGCCCCATTTTCATAGTTCTTGGAATCAAGAATTGGAAGGTCGGTAGGGGTTCAATCATTGAAAATGGTAGACATGTTTGCAGCGGATTAATGAATCAAAACTAAGGCTCTTGATGCTAAATGTTGGAACATACACAAAAATAAGTTGGTGAATTAATGGTGAAAGTGGTTAATTGAAAAAGATGAAGTTTAGAGAGAATTTTGGAGATTATTACAGAGAGAGAGGGAGAGTAATTGAGGAGAAATATTAAAATTGGCATTAACTAAAAAAACACACATTACATGAGGTATTTTTAGGATACACCTAAAACAAAGTGGAACTAAAACTGGCCCAACAAATAGCTTAAACACTCAAAAAATCGCGACAGAAATCGGTTTCTTAAAACAGGAAAACCAGTTTCCTCAACTGAGAAAACAATTCCAGAAGCTGAAACACGTGACAGAAACTGGTTTCTTCAAACTAGAAAATCAGTTTCTTCTTCTAAACTCCACATTTTCAGCTTTTTAGAAGTGCTTTTCAAATAATTTATTTTACACGAAACGACCATAGAAGCTTCTATAATGCATTTGGCTTATATTGAACATCCAATAAAAACTTCATTCTCATGGTTGTCACTGACTTAAGTGTTTGCAAATACACCCTCCCACTTCCAAACTGAAGCTAGAAGATCGTTAAAGAATTTATTATCATATCCTCAATTATCAACAACACATGAAGAAGAAGGTTCACTCTGGATAACTACTAAACTAATAATAAGTAACTAACTTTGTATAGTTTGAATTACAACCACCACTCCTTAATTCAAGCCACCAAATATTACAACTCCATATTATCATCTTTGCTTCAAGAACTACTCCTTCTTGACTGCCTTAGAGAGTGAATCAATTTACTCCTCTTGTGGTGGATAATATTCTATAATAAATTTGTCTTTGTTCACATAGTCTCTCAATAAAAATAAAACCTCGTTTTACTATGTTTACTCTTCTCATGAAAGATAGTTTTTTTGCTAGGTTAATGAAAGATTTGTTGTCAATCATTAATTTGACTTCAAGACTATTATCAATCTTCACTTCATTCATCAATGATTACAGCCAATTTATTTGACCAACTGCTAGTGACCTTTTAAGATATTCAACTTCCCAACATAATAGGGGACTCACAAATTGCTTATTATAACACTAACATGTTGGTTCTCTTTGAAACTTGAATAAATAACCACTTGTACTCATTATATCCAATTGCTTGCCTGGAAGTATGACCAGAGAACCTTGAAACACTCAGATGTCATATGGATCCAACTGAAATCTCTCAAATGCGTCCCAGAACAAGACATTTGTTGAGCTTCTCGAGTCAATCAACACTCGCTTTATATCACAATGGTCACATTACTCTGTTACATGACCATGAGGTCATTATCTTGAGGAATGATGTTGGCGGAAACTTCAGTAGAAAAATGATTCTGAGTTCTGGCTCCTCTCCCACGTTTGGTTTATAACTGATTGTTGTATCATCCCCCACCAAAACCTACCAAACATACCTTTGGTGAGAAGAGTTAGATTTTACACCTCTAGCAAACCCTCGTGCTATGGTGTAAACAGGTGCAACTGAGTTGTTAGGTGTCGTGGTACCTTGTCTCGACATCATGTTGAAGAAGGTAATTGAGGCAGCTGATGAATGAAAGGTGAGTGTGGCTCAGATTAGTTTCATCGGGGCTATAAAGTAGGCATCAATTATACTTCCTAAAAGTATTATGAGATGACAACCCATGTTTGTAGAAATGTCAGGGTTTGTGGTTTGTTGTGTACTAAGGACCTACTCACGTGAGGGTTGTGAGAGGCTCTATATGTGTTTTTGAGATAAAATTCATGATCCCCTCCCAACTCTGGGAGTGAAGTATATTGAGAAACTTCTTGGATCTGGGATAGAATGCAGTTTTCCCGGTCCCATTACTAGAAACGTGGAACATAAGAGATATGTTATCCCTTGAGTTGGGGGGGGGGGCAATATTTTCTCTTTGGCTGATATCTCTCATTCGTTACTGCTTGGACATGTTGCCTTCCACGTTCGTGGGCAAATGGACAATGAAAACCAGTTCAGGTGACCGAAGACCAAACGAGCGACTTCATGTGCATTTTGGGAGATTTATGAGGCTACTTCGGGAGACCTCTTAACCACAGGTAGATCGTGGGTTTTGTACCCCAGTCCTATCGGGCGGCCAAACCCTTTTGGATGATTTGTTGTCTTATTTTGGGTGACTATTATCTCTATGTTAGGCGCTCGCCCAATAGAAATAACTTGGTTTTTGTTGCTTCTTTGTGGGCCACCCCATTACAAAACCTAGTAAAATTATCTCAGTCCATGAGCACATGCCACTTTTCTCTTTGGCTGATATCTCTCATTCGTTACTGCTTGGACATGTTGCCTTCCACGTTCGTGGGCAAATGGACAATGAAAACCAGTTCAGGTGACCGAAGACCAAACGAGCGACTTCATGTGCATTTTGGGAGATTTATGAGGCTACTTCGAGAGACCTCTTAACCACAGGTAGATCGTGGGTTTTGTACCCCAGTCCTATCGGGCGGCCAAACCCCTTTGGATGATTTGTTGTCTTATTTTGGGTGACTATTATCTCTATGTTAGGCGCTCGCCCAATAGAAATAACTTGGTTTTTGTTGCTTCTTCGTGGGCCACCCCATTACAAAACCTAGTAAAATTATCCCAGTCCATGAGCACATGCCACTTTTTATAATTTGTTTGCTTCTAATAAATTGGTCTATAGAGTTAGTTAAACTAACTAACTTCTAACTAACAACAAATAATTAACTTTCCATAGTTTGAATTAAGACTATCACGATGAATACAAATTTTAATTTTTTATTAACTTCATTAGCAATTGACCTAAATATGGTACAGTAACAAAATGAATTAGCAATTGACCTAACTTGCTATATTGCTGATGTAAGGCATGATACTATTGATCATAGTTTGGTAGCCATTGCCAATTCAAGCATTAACTGATTTCTTGTAACACACCTAAAGAGTTTGTTATATGTAAGAGGTTCATGAACATTACACACACACGTACGATGACTAGACAGAAACTTTTCTTTGCTTCAATTGTTGATTTATAAAGTTGTCACATTAATAGAAGGAACTAGATTCAACTGTTGTTGATAGACATAAAATTTTCTTTGCTTCAATTGCAAGAAACATCTCAAATATGAAGAGTTTGTCAAAAAAAAATCTCAAATATTAAGAGAGCATAAATGTTACTATATATATATTTGATGGGAAGGGATTCTCTCCGGTCTTGTTTTCACTGGAAAGGGAACTGTGACCATCAGCATCGTTGAAAATTTTTCTTTCCTTAGTTTTGAATATTTTATGTGACTAAGATTTCATTATTTTTCTACTTCATGGGGAGATAGTCTGCTCCCATATTTGATCAATTACAAATAACCTTATTAAGTAAAAGTAAATCATTTTAAGCAATACTAGTTTCTTTAATAAAGATTTAAGCAATAGTTAATTATTAAAAATAACTTAATTAATATGATGCATGTGGTACCGTGCACAACAAGACTTTGTCTACCAATAATAAATGATAATTTAAATGATTTGAAAATAGATAACACATGCAATTCATTAAACGGTATTCCAAATCTCTAAACTATATTTTAATTAAATTAAGCAGCTAAAATAAAACAAATAAAATAAAAACCTGGTAGTTTTTCTGGGTGTGTATAACAAATTCCATTTTCTCCTTGAAGTGTTGGTATGAACTCATCAATAAGTGGATGAATCTTGCACACATCAGACATCACTTTTGCCTCTAAATGCTCTAATATTTCTATGTCATTTGGATCAAATTTCACTCCAGCTGGTAAACCAGGCAAATCATGAATTCCACCCTATATATCATCAGTTAATACAAATCTTTACACTAAAAAATAAACTTATAAATAAGATCAAAATGAATATTAAATAAATAAAAACCTTTAATTAATACCTGATTTTTTACTTCAATATCATGGTCACATGAGGGGCATTTTATGGTTTGAATTTCTTCACTGAGCTTTATGTGATCAGTAACATCAGAGTCATTGCACCAAGTCATCTTTCTGTGTTAATTTTCCTAGAATAACAGAACTTTTTTTTCTACTAATCTCTCCTACAATATATAAATAGTTGTAAATAAAAAAGGTGATGAATTAATTATAGATGAAAAATGTGAAGAAGGGCAAAGCTAAGTTTGTGTCTTTCGGGACACGTTTTGTTGTTGCTGGAAATTATGAGAGAATATTTGTTTAATCATACATACCTTGAGGCTCACACTATTTCTTCCGTGTGTTATTCAATGATTGAACTTGTGTTTGTGATTTTCCAAACTGTGCTTTCAGAGACAGATAAAGAGAAGGTGTAGGTAGACCTTGCAGTTAGTTATAGCTGATAGATAAAAGAAAGATAGGAAAAAATCTAGGGGTTCTACATATAGTAAAGGTTGCTTGGAGGTCACGTTTTGCAATGCTAGTGTGTACACGTTTCAATCAAAGAATTCATGCGGCCTACATATTTAACTAGTTTTTCATTATAATAATAAAAATAATAATAATAAAATAATAATAATAATAATAATAATAATAATAATAATAATAATAATAATAAAAATAAAAATAATAATAATAATAATTATTATTATTATTTTTATTATTATTATTATTATTGATTTTTTTTTTATTAATCAGGTATTAAAAAAAAAATTCGCAAATAACCACGTTTCGGAAAAAATTACGCAAATAACCATGTTTCAGATGACTCCCCAAAGGAGGAGCCATTTCACTTGGCGCCTCCACCAAGATTTTTGCCCTAGGCGCCATCTCACTTGGCGCCTCCTCTCTCTTTTAACCAAGTGAGATGGCGCATGCACTTTAAAAGTGAGAGGAGGCGCCATCTCACTTGACTCCTAGGGCAAAATATTGTTTTTATAAATAATTTGTCCGTTTCTCCATCATTTCTCACACTTTCTCGCACCGTTTTCTTATTTTTTACTCTGTTATTTGCGTCATGACATCGCCCATGATTTTTACCAGAGATGGTTACGTTATCTTCTCCGCCACGAAACCTGCGATGAAAATGAAATTATGGCACATTCACTCCATGGAGCGTCTGAAGCGGGAGTTGATGCGATGGCTAGATGGAGACATTGTGGAGGGGGGGGGGGGAATTCGAAGGATCCAGCAAAGACGAACAACAACCTCACATGCGACAAGAAGACCTAATGTATGGTTGGAGGAAGTCAAAACAGACAGCGACGTAATGTTGATGATGCATGGGTCAGATGAAATTGTTTTAACAGTTGTAATTTCGTAGACGGAATATTGTGTTTTTTTTCTTGTACGCGCAATATTTATTGTAGCAGATACTGTTAACGAAAAACCCTAATGTTTACAACATAATTAAGGAAAGATTTTATGTATTACAATTTTTATGTGGTTGAGGCAGACGCCCGATTCGGACAATTTTTGCGATTGTGTCCGACCTGATGGCATAAACCAAACTTTCTTTCCAGCTTGTCAAGGGAGTCCATTTCGGTTGTGATGCGCTTACTTTTGGGACGACCCTTCTTGTTCCTTCGCATTTGGTCATTGTGCCACACTATTTCGCTGTCGTATGCAGGCCAATAATCTGGTTTTGCTACCAAAGGAAAGTTGTTGTTGTAAACATTGAGCAACGTTTCAGATTTGTAAATGTGTGACAGAAGTTGTAGTGCGTCTTGATGGGTATAAGCACAAGCGGCAATGACATGAGAGCAAGGCATACGAAAGGCTTGAAACTTGCCACAATCGCACCAACGAAAAGGTAGTACAACCCTATATTCTTGTCTTGGCAGACCTTCGTTGTGGTCGATTGTCTCTTTCACAATGAAGTTGTGGCTGTGTCGGTCAAACCGTATAACCATATGAGTGTTGGCTTTGGCACTTTCTGCCTTAATGTACTTCATGCAGCTTTCACTCCATAGTTGTCCAGATTGCAACACCGCATTCCACATTTCACCTCTTTTGACAAACAACAAAGACATCCTAAAATACGTAGATTTTACCAAAGTAGTGATCAGAAGGTTTCATATGCCTTTGAATACCCCATTCATCGATTCAATTAGATTTGTTGTCATGTGCCCTCATCTTTGGCCATTGTTGTATGACCTAGTCCATTTTTCCACCGGAATATTGTCGATCCACCTACCGGCTTCCGGATTTGATTGACGGATCTCGTTGCGGTAATATTTGAACGTGTGTTGTGTCAATGCATATCCCGCATTCATAACCGCTTTCCTTAGTGTTTTGTCCTTGATCTCCCTCGTGAAATTTTGGACGATATGTGTAACGCAATAGACATGCGTAGAAGGAGGGTCATGCCAACCGTTTACAGGATTATTGTAGGCACTTTCAATGGATGCATGTCTGTCCGAGATCAAACAGAGATCTGGTTGAGGAGCCTCGTGTGTTCGCAGGTTTTTCAGAAAAAAGCTCCAAGCACCACCGGTCTCCCCCTCGACTAGGGCAAAGGCAATTGGGAAAATGTTATTGTTGCCATCTTGTGCAATTGCCATCAGTAGTGTACCTTTGTATTTCCCATACAACCAAGTCCCATCAATTTGTATAATTGGTTTTCATGATGCAAACCCTGTGATGCAAGGTTGAAATTCCCAAAACACTCAATTGGATATTCCGTTTCCGTTTAGTTGACTACCATCTTGGGCGTATGCTGGCACTATTTCCAGAATGTAAACAATACCCGGAGAATAAGTCTTGAGTGCATTCAGGTAGCGAGGAAGTTCTTGGTATGACTCCTCCCAGTTTCCGTACACCTTTTCAATCGCCTTGGTCTTTGCTAACCACACCTTACGGTAAGACGGAGTATAGTTAAAAACCATAGTGATGTGGGAGATGATGGTTTTCACCTTCAAAGATGGGTCGTTGCTGACGAGTGGTAGGATTTCTTGACAAATGAGATCGTAATTAAGTTTTCGATGTTCCTGTGATTGGGTAGAACTGACACAAGTGTAGGTAGACATGGAACCTATGACCCAACAATCACCTCTTAATCTGTATGATGCAGTGAGCTTGAACATACAATCAGGGTGGACACACTTGATCTTGTACCTTTCTGGGTTGACACGGTCCACCTTAAAATCGACCGAGTTGAGCATGTGTAATTTTTTTATGGCTCTGATGCATTCCTCTCTGTTACGAAACTTGTCATTCTCTTTTAAGTTTTCATCCAACTGCATATACGGATTGAAAAATAAATCAGAAGACGGTTCATCTCTGCCCATGTTAAAGTTTGTCATGTGCGGAGGTGGTGTGTAGATCTCGTTTGCAGGAATACTAGGTATCCCATCATCTTCAGAATCATCATTCACCATTTCATCAAACTCTAACTCGTCATCTTTTTCTTCTTTATCAACTGCATCTACCTTTGCTTGTTCGGTCTCCAAAGGATCAACCACTTGTGTAACCTGAGGCTCTCGCAGCATAATGTACAACTCAATAGAGTCATACCCAGAATACACATGACTAGAAAACATATTCTGAATATCATCGTCATCTTGAACCTCAACCTTATAAAATATTATTTGGTTGTTACCAAGAAAAACTGGATTCTGATAAAATATTTGTGTCACCGGTCCTCGTCCAAGTTTGGCCTCCAATCATTTTTTGAAGTACGAGAAATTGGCTTTCCCGTTTAAAAGAAATCGGATGTTGTCTGTGTCTCTAAACAAAAACCCAAAGGTGGGACAAATGTATGTCTCACTGTTGAAATGTGCATTGATGACATATTGGGGTGCAGAGGCCATTGCGTATGGTTGTTTGAAGGTTTGAAGGTTTGAAGGTTGGAAGGTTTGAAGTTTATGAGTTATTCGAAGATTTGAAGGTTTGATTGTTTGAAGGTTTGAAGGTTTGATTGTATGAAGGTTTGAAGGTTGGAAGGTTTGACGGATTAAGTGAATCAGTGTTTTGATAAATGTAAGACTAAATAGGTCATACTGAATTTGAATTAAGTAAGGTTGTAACCTCCAAGGCTGCCACATAGCCTGCGCCTACTCTGCACCTACACTGTAACCTGTAAGTCTCCTCCCATCACCTCCAATAGTGTTACATGCAATCAGGCATGGCTTCTCCAAGGCTGTCACCTAGCCTGCGCCTACTCTGCAACCCATGCCACCTCTTATTCGCCAATGGGGATGGCGACACCTTTCATTTTTGTACTCTTTTGCCGTCTAATGGCGCCTCCCTTAATATCCAATCGTGTTACATGCATGCATAGATGCCTTCTCCAAGGCTGCCACCTGGCCTGCGCCTACTCTGCACCTACACTGTAACCTGTAAGTCTCCTCCTATCACCTCTAATAGTGTTACATGCAATCAGGCATGGCTTCTCCAAGGCTGTCACCTAACCTGCGCCTACTCTGCAACCCATGCCACCTCTTATTCGCCAATGGGGATGGCGACACCTTTCATTTTTGTACTCTTTCGCCAAGTCCAATGGCGCCTCCCTTAATGTCCAATCGTATTACATGCATGAAGATATGCCTTCTCCAAGGCTGCCACCTAGCACGCGCCTACTCTGCACCTACACTGTAACCTATAAGTCTCATCCCATCACCTCCAATAGTGTTACATGCAATCAGGCATGGCTTCTCCAAGGCTGTCACCTAGCCTGCGCCTACTCTGCAACCCATGCCACCTCTTATTCGCCAATGGGGACGGCGACACCTTTCATTTTTGTACTCTTTCGCCAAGTCCAATGGCGCCTCCCTTAATGTCCAATCGTGTTACATGCATGCAGAGATGCCTTCTCCAAGGCTGCCACCTAGCTTGCGCCTACTCTGCACCTACACTGTAACATGTAAGTCTCCTCCCATCACCTCCAATAGTGTTACATGCAATCAGGCATGGCTTCTCCAAGGCTGTCACCTAGCCTGCGCCTACTCTGCAACCTATGCCACCTCTTATTCGCCAATGGGGATGGCGACACCTTTCATTTTGTACTCTTTCGCCAAGTCCAATGGCGCCTCCCTTAATGTCCAATCGTGTTACATGTATGCAAAGATGC